TCGCGCAGCCTCAGCGGCGCGCGACGCATCAGCGCGCTGAGGCGCGCGTGCTTCTCGCGGCGGCGCGCGCTCCGGAACGAGCGCCGCCCCCCTCCCTTCTGGGTCTCGAGGAGGGGTCGAGAGAGCGACGCCTTGTCTTCCGACGCCCCGCCGCGCCTCAGCGAGCACGGCGTCGCCTGCAAGTGCTGGAGACTGAGGGCGGCCAGGAAGCGGTTCCAAGCCAGGGGGAGGTCGAGGTGCGAGAAGCGGAAGAGCGGGTTGCTGTCCGCCCGCGCCAGCTTCAGGTGCCGAGGGGCTGGCTGCAGCAAGCGGCGACGCGGCAAGTCCAGCGCGACGCCGTTGTCGAATTCGCCTGTCTTGCCAAGCACGTCGAGCTCGCTCGCTCTAACCAGCAGCGCCCAGCACTGGCAGACGCCTGTCCCCCCGGCACCGGGGGCGCAAGCTGCGGCCCCGCCAGGTCGAGCCCCTCGCTCGGGCGCACGCAGCAGGAACAGCAGGAACAGCGCGGGTGTCTTCCATGAACAGGTCAACAGCACAGGTGTCTTCCAGGAACAACGCCTCGAAGGTCAGCAGCAGGAACAGCGCGATGTCTTCCTGGCCCCGCGCGCACAGCCACAGCGCCATCAGCGCGACAGCGAGTCGCGGCGCGGGAGGCCTCGACAGGGGCTTCTCAAGCCGCCGCCAGCCTGTCACTGCCGCCGTGGCCAGAGGGAGGCCGCGCCTCAGCGGGCGCGGCAGATGGGGGGCCCCCAGCGCACCGCCGCCAGCGTGCCCGCGGCGTCTCCCACCGGCAGCCCTCGGTCGCGCAGGAACTCCACGTCCTGCTCCGGCGCCAGGCCCCAATCGGCAGCCGCCAGCGGAGGCGCCCTCGGCACCCGTAACCAGGCCAGCAGCCGGCGCAACGCCAGCAGGCAGATCCGCTGCGTCGTCGGCGCCACCGCGGCGGCCGTCAGCGAGCTGATGTTGAAGCCCAGCTGCTGCGCGGCCAACCCGCTGACCTCGGCCTCGTTCAGCGCCGAGCTGGGCCGCTGTCGGGCCAGCAAGCGCCTCGCCCGTCGGCCCGCGCCCGTCTCGCCGCGGTAGGGCACCAGCGCGCGCCCCCGCAGGAGACGAGCAGGGCCCGCTGCGACCTCGGGCGGCGTCGCAGGCGGCGGCAGCGGCTGGCGCGTCAACGTCCTACGCCAGAACGTCTGGGGCGTCACGGGGCGCGGCGGCCGCGAGTTCCTGGCGGGTAGCGCCCGCGCCCGCGGGGCCAGCACCCTCGCCTCCTGCCGCGGCGCCGCGGGTCGGCTGCCCTGGCTCGCCGGGGCCAGGGGGGCCCGCGTCACAGGGAGCGGCAAAGTGGCGCGCCTTGGCCCGCCCAGCGGCCAGCTGCTCGCGGAGACCGTCGGCACCGGCGGGCCGCGCAGTCTCGCCTCGGCGATCGCGACTGCGCGGATTTGATCAAAGGCACCAGAGTTGCCCACGAGGCCCTTCTAGACATTCTCAAGCCCAGATGACAAAGCATGAAGATGACGATCACGCTGTTGCATGTCTTGGCTGACGCGTGCGCCCCTCAGCTGTGATTGCTCATTGCTTGTGAGCTGTAGATCAAGCTCAGGCTGCTGCTGTAGACCATGCTGGTGTAGATCATGATCAGGCTGATGCTGGTGCTGAAGATCAGGCTCTTGCTGTTGCTCATGTTGCTGTACATCAGGTTGCAGTTGAAGGATCGCTGCTTGCTGCAAATCACGCTCAGGCTTATGCGGATGCTGAGATGATGTAGCTGATGATGTGATGTGCTCGCCGCCATCATGCTGACATATGAAGAAAGCAAAGAAAACACCCAAAACAAACTCTGCTGCGCGCGCCTGCAAGACTCGATGGAAATGACGATCATGATGCGACGAGGATGGATCGTGCCTTCTGCTGGGCCCATCGGCCGAGTTCCACTCTGACGGAATCCAACAAGGGCCACCCGCGCTCCGAGTGACAGCGTCGCGGCACATAACTCGCGGCACCTACGGAAGAGGTGCCGAGCTGAACTTCGAACCTCCCAAGAAGTCAGGACCCAGGCCATCGAATCTGAGAGAACAAGATGGCGCTGCAGGGCGCTGCCTCGCGCCCGCGCCAGGCGCCTCGCCTGCCAGATAGCGGCCCCCGCCTCAAGCGCCAGGATCTTGTCGCGGCGGCGCCGGCGCCGCGCGCCAACGACGCGCCAGTCGCCACCCCGCGCCAGGTCGATAGGGGCAACCTGGAAGGCAGCCTGCAGCCCCAGCGCATTCAGCTGCGCGTCGGAGGCCTCCGCGAGGCCCGCCTGGGAAGGCCCCGCCCCCCCCCCCCCCCTCCGCGAGGTCGCGAGAGCGGCGGTTGGTGCGAAGGGCGCCGCGGGAGCGGCCGCGCTCCGAGGCCCTCCCGGCAGCGCCGACGGAGGCAACTCCCCCGTCCTTCTCGGTCACGCCGACGCCGCGCAGCGAGGCGTCCACCGACGCCACGGACGGCAACCAAGGTAGGCTCACGTCCGCGAAGGCCAGCGGCAGCAGCGCCAGAGCCGCTCGCAGCTCCCTCCGCACCGAAGCCCAAACCCGGGCTGACCGGGCGAAGAAGCGGTCGGCGAAGACGTAGACCGACGAGAAGACCGATGGCATCTCGGGCCGCGGCAACACGGCGGCCGAGGCGCGGCCCGCCACTCGGGCGATCTGGCGCCCCGCGCTGCGAGTCCTGCCCCAGCCCAGAGCGCGCCAGGCGAGCGCTGCGCGCCTGAACTCGCGGGCCGACGGGCGCCACTGCGCACCAGCACCGCCCAGCTCGAAGCCCAGCGGCGGCTGGCCCACAGGCCCGGGACCAGCGCCCACCCCCGCGGCAGCCACAGCGGCCAGCATCTCCCCCAAGCGGCGGTCTGCCTCCCCCTGCGACGCGGCGAGCGCCGCGAAGTTGCCGATATAGATCAGCGAGACGCCAGAGCCAGGCTGCGCGGGCGCGCGCGGCACGCACAGGGCAAGCAGGCGATCCGCTGGGACGCAGGCGCCCAGGATGCGCTGCATGGCCTGCGAGATGAAGTCGAATGCCCAGGACCAGACCATCGGAACCACGCGCAGCCGCAGGCGAACGAGCCCATCAGGCGGGCGGGCCCCCACTGCGCGGCGGGCCGCCGCCGGCAGCGCAGCCGAAGGCACCGGCGGCGAACCAAACGCCTCGCGCAGGCCCGGCTGCAGCAGGAACTGGTAGAAACAGCGAGCGACGTCGCCATGCGCGACGCAGAGCCTCTGCCCAGGCGGCACCTCCACGGAGCCCACGGCCAGGGCAACTGCAAGGGGGGCGCAGTCAGGGTCCGCGAACATGGCGTTCGCGTCCCTGGCGTCGAAGACCAGCCCGGGGGTAGAGTCCTTCCCATAGACAAAGAAGGGCGCAACCTGCGTGAAAGAGGCACCAACCTCGCGCATGTCACTCTCGAGCAGGTCGGCCACGAACTTCCCGCAGGCGGCTAGGCTGCGCGCGAGCCCCCTGTCAAAAGCCAATTGCGCACTCGGCGCGAAAGAAGATGTGATGGTGCCCCCCTCATGCAAGGCCCCAGTCTCACCCATCAGCAGCGAGCGTGCTGCTGGCGGCAGCACATCTGCCAGATTGACCACCCCTGAAGCCACGCGCGGGAGCGACCCCTTCCCGCGCCGTTAGGTGGCGTACTTCCCGCTGGCGACGTCGTCGGGGGCGCTGCCAGGATCGGAGCCGACGACAGCAAGGGCGGCCGACTCGGCGGTCAGGTCCGACGGGCAGCGGGACACTGCGACGAAGGAGCTCTCGAGCCGCTTCAGCGCACCGACGTGCCTGCCAGACGCTCGCCCAGCGCGCCGAGCGGCACCGCGCCCCCCCCCCATCTAATTGGGGGTTCGCAAGCCCTCGCGGAACCACGCCTGAGCAGAGCAGCCATCAGCGCAGCAGCCCAGCGGCGGCGCAGCCGGCCAGGGCAGCAGGTCCCTGGGATCCGCCGCGGGACCCGGCGGCCTTGCGGCGGCGCGCAGGCTCGGACACCTCCCCAAGTGCACATGCGACCCTCGTTCGGGGGAGCTCCGAGGTCGCTGCCGAACAGCACGCGCCGATGAGCAGCCAGGCCTGTCCCCCCCCCCCAGCCGCTGCCCGAGGCGCCAGTCTGGCCGCCCTTTGTCTTCTTGGCCTTCTCCTTGCTGCCTGGCGCAAGCGCTGGCGGCAACGTGGCAGCCGCCACCGCCGCTCGCTCTTCGCGGCGCTTCCTCCGCTCCTTGAGCACCGCGGCCTCCTCCCCCATTCGCTTGGCCACCCAGCGCTCCAGCTCCGGCGAAACCAACGCGTAGCCCTTGGCGCGGCCGCCGCCATGGAACAGGCGCCGCTCCGCCGCGAGACCCGCCGCGACGACGCCCTCGGTCGAAGCCCGAGTGCGCTCCGCGTACTTCTCCTCCCAGAGCTGGTAGCGGCGCGCCACCCCTTCGAAGCGCGCGAGGCTGCAGACGCTGGGCTGGTCGCGCTGCAGGCCATGCTGCAGCGTCTCCGAGAGGAAGAGGCGCTCGTGCATGCCAGGGTCCGAGGAGGTGGCCCCGAGGGCCCGGCGCCTTCAGTGGCGATGGGGGACGGGGGCCATCCCGCAGCTGGCGAACGCCTCTACGAGCCAATGCACGGCGCGAAGTCCCTCCACTGGCCAGGCGTCATCCAAGGGCCCCTCGCGCAGCAAGCTCCGAGCACGATCGAAGCTCCGAGTGCGATCACCACGAGGAATGTAAGCAACGGCCAGCGTGCGAATATCCCCCCCTGCGGCTGGAGCGGCGTCGGCGGCGCGGCCGCGCCGGAGGGCCCCGACTGAAGCGCAGCCAGACCTCGTCGCGCTGCAGCAGCGCCTGCCCAGCACTTCCGAAGGCGACGTCAGAAGCACCGAGCACCGCCGACTCTCCGCGGCGGAAGGTGCCCTCCGTCTCGGCGGCGAACCAGCGCGACCCCACCACGAGGCAGTGCCCGACCAGCGTCCCGCGCGCGTAGTACTCGGGGCAGTCCTCGAGATCCCGATCGGCCAGCGCAGCACCAGGGAGCAGCGCTGGCGGGGCGGGCAGCGGCGGCGGTCCGACACCGTTAGCGGCGGCGGCAGGCCGCTTTGCGACGAGGGCGGCCAGCTCTGCCTCCGCCCGCCTGCGGAAGCCGCTGTCGCGCACGACGTCTTCCCGACGGAGGGCGTAGCGCAGCGCCTTGTTCCCAGAGAAAAGGTTCGGCACCCCGCCTGAGACACCACTCTCCAGCATGTCCGCGTAGTCTCCGAGCAGCTCCTCGTGAACGCCAGCATCGGGCGTGACGATGATGCGCCCACCCAAAATGGGCTATAACACCAGCCGTTCGTGGCAGACGCCCTCATTACGATCGAACAGCGCCCAGGAACGGCGCCCGCTCTCCAGAACTTTGAAGGCCATCGCTCACCACCCAAGAGCCTCCCGCGCGCACCCGCTGGCAGCGTCAATCACCTAGCCTGCAGATACGCCGCCTGCGCCTGCGGCCCGCCCGGCAGCGGCGATCACCACCAGCGCGCCGCGAGGAAGCCCGTGGCGAGCTGGCCGAGCGCGACGGCGAGCAGCACGGCGGTGGGCCAGCCTGGGGCGCCGCAGTCGCACGGGCAGCCGCACTCTGGGGCGACTGGCGGCGTCTATCGCGCCAGGAGACAGAAGGGGTTGATGGGACAGAGGCAGGCGACTGAGGACGGCTCGACCAGCACAGTTTGCCAGGCAGAAGAAGGGGCTTGATGGGTCATGGGCAAGAGCGGTCGACAACATCACCGTTGACATTCGCACGACGACGACGACGACGACGACGACGACGACGACGACGACGACGACGACGACGACGACGACGACGACGGTGGCGGCGACGACGACGACGACGACGACGACGACGACGACGACGGTAGCGGCGATGACGACAACGACGACGACGACGACGACGACGACGACGACGACGACGACGACGACGACGACGACGACGACGACGACGGTGGCGGCGGCGACGACGACGACCACAACGACGACGACCACGACGACGGCGACGGCGACGGCGACCACAACGACTACGACGAGGGCAACGAAGACGACGACGAATACAACGACGACGACGCCGACGCCGACGACAACGATGGCGACGGCGACAACGACGACGTGGACGGCGACAGCGACGACGACGACGACGACGACGACGACGGCGACAGCGACGACGACGACGACGACGACGACGACGACGGCGACGGCGACGACGACGACGACGACGACGACGACGACGACGGATGGCGGCGGCGGCGGCGACGGCGACGACGACGACGACGGTGGCGGCGACGACGACGACGTCGACGACCAAGACGACGGCGAGAGCGACGACGAAAGCAACGGCTACGGCGACGACGACGACGACGACGACGACGACGAAGACGACGGTAACGACGACGACGACGAGGAATACGACGGCGGCGGCGACGACGACGACGACGACGACGACCACCACCACCACCACGACGACAGCGACGACGGTGGCGGCGACGACGACGACAACGACGACGACGGCGCGACGACCAAGACGACGGCGACGGCGACACCAACGGCAACGGCGACGGCGACGGCGACGACGACGATGACGACGACGGTGACGACGACGACGACGGTGGCGGCGACGACGACAACGACGACCACGACGATGGCGACGACGACGACGGTGGCGGCGACGACGACGACGACGACGACGGCGCGACGACGAAAACGACCACGATGACGACGCCGACGACAACAACAACAACGACGACGACGACGACGACGACGACGACGACGACGGCGACGGTGACGACGACGACGACGACCAAGACGACGACGACGGTGGCGGCGGCAACGGCGACGACGACGACGACGACGACGACGACGACGACGACGACGACGGCGACGGCGACAGCGACGGCAACGGCGACGGCGACGACGACGACGGCGACTACGACGCCGACGCCGACGCCGACGCCGACGCCGACGACGACGACGACGACCACGACGGCGACGACAACGACAACAACGACATGGACGGCGACAGCGACGATGACGACGACGACGACGGCGACAGCGACGACGACGACGACGACGACGACGACGACGACGACGACGGCGGCGGCGGTGGCGGCGGCAAGGACGAGGAGAGGGCGGCGTCCTCCCTCGACGGGCCTCCCCGCTGGCTCCGCGGCCGCCGCCGGCTGGGGCGGCGGCAGGTCGCGAGGCGGCCGCGAGGCTGCGGCGGCGCCTCAACCCCTACCCAGGTTCCATTCGGCTCGAGCCCCCAGGCATTCACACGAGGGCCCAACAGCACAGGATGGTTGGCAAACAGTGCACCATCGACGCCTCGACAACGACGACGGCGACGACGACGACGACGCCGACGCCGACGCCGACACCGACGCCGACGCCGACGCCGACGCTGACGCCGACGCCGACGCCGACGACGACGACGACGACGACGACGACGACGACGACGACTCAACTCAACACCTCTTGGAGCGGTATCCGATTGTCACTTCCAGACGGCCTGAGCAGCAGCAGCAGCAGCAGTCGACTCTCTGTCGACTTCGCATACACAAGTGAGCAAGAAAGTAGAACAAGCTCTGAGCAGCTGACAGGAGAGACTCTTGTGCCACGATCGCGCTGGGGAGGGATGATGCTCCCAAAGGCCGTCCGCGGCGCCCAGGTCAGCGGGATGGCCTCTGGGGCCGCCTGACGACGCCGACGACAACAACGACGACGACGACGACGACGACGACGACGACGACGACGACGACGACGACGACGACCGGGCCCGCCCGCCCTGGCAGGCACCGCTTGCCGCGGCGGCGCCCGCCGCGGCCGAGCTTGCGGCCCTCGGAGGGGCCTCCTGGCGTTTGGGGGGTTACCCGGCGGCAACGGCGACGGCGACGGCGACGATGGTGACGCGCAGGCGACGACGCAAGCGACGCAGACGGCGATGGCGGCGACGGCGGCGTCGGCGAGCGACGGCGGCGTCGGCGGGCGGCGGCGGCGGCGGCGCGTTCGACGCAGAAGCACACGTCTGACACTGGGATCTCTTCCCAGCGGGGCCCCCCTGGAGGCCTGGACCCTTCCCCAGGACGGGTGTGTGTTGTCTGGGGCCGCGCTTGGACGGCCCCTGGCGCCAGGGAGGGCCCCAGGAGGCCGAACATAGCGAGACCTCCACGACGCGAGGGCGGCAGGCGACGCAGGCGGCGACGGCGTCGGCGGCGGCGGCGCCCGGGTGCGCCGCGCGAGGGGGATCCGCGGAGCGGCGGCCGCGCCGAGGCTCGGCCCGCCGAGTGCGAGAGCTCGAACCTTCGAGGGTGCGCCGCTGGATCTCCCCAAGGGGGGGAGTTGGGACACCCCCCCCCCCTCTTGCCCCGATCCGTCGTCGGCCCCTTTCCCGATCCGTCGTCGGGGCCCCCCCCCATCCCTCCCTTTCCCGATCCGTCGTCGGGGAATCCCCTCCCCCCCTTTGGCCGCCAAATTCGAGCACCCCCCCTCCCCCCCTTTCGCCACGGCGCCCCCGAGCGCCCCCAAGCTCCAAAACCCGACCCTTACCACCCCGAACACAAATCCTCACCCTGACCCTAGCCACTAACCCTAGACCCAACCCAAACCCTAGCCCCAAACAGCACTTACTACTCATTACGAACTACTCACTACCCACTACTCACTACTCGCTACGGACTACTCACTTCTCACTATTCACTACTCCCTACTCACGACTCACTACTCACTACCCACTACTCACTACCCACTATCCACTACTCACTACTCCCTACCCCCTACTCGCTACTCACTACTAACTAATCACTACTCACTACCCACTACTCAATACTCACTACTCACTAAACAAAACTCACTACCCACTACTCGCTAACCACAAATTACTACTCACTACCCACTACCCACCATCCACTACTCACTACTAACACTTCACAACTCACTACTCACTGCCCACAACTCACTACTCACTATCCACTACTCCCTGCTTCCTACTCCCTGCAAAATACGCACTACTCACTACTCACTACTCGCTAGTCCCTACACCCTACCCGCTACCCAATACGCACTATTCCCTACCCACTACTCACTACCCACTACGCTCCCACTACTCACTACCCACTACTCCCTACTCCTTGGTCGCACCCCGGTACCAAGTACTCACTACTTACTAAAAACTCCCTGCCCACTACTCACTACTCACTACTCACTAAGCACTACTCACTACCCACTATCCACTACTCACTACTGAATACTCACAATTTACCACTCACTGCCCACAAACCACTACCCACTATCCGCTGCTCGCTACTCGCTACTGCCTACTCCCTACACAGTACTCGTTGCTCACTAATCACTACTCACTACTCGCTACCCCCTACTCGCTACTCGCTACCCTAATACGCAATATTCACCACTCACTGCGCACTACTCACTACTCACTACTCACTACTCCCTACTCACTAGTCACTAGTCACAAGTCGCTACTCACAACTCACTATTCCGTACTCACTACTCACTACTCACGACTCACTACTCACTACTCCCTACTCACTACTCGCTACTCCCTACGCACTACCCACGACCCACTACTCAATACCCACTGCTCACATCTCACTACTCACAACTCACTTCTCTTTACTCCCTACTCACTACTCACTACTCACTAATCACTACTCGCTACTCCCTACTCGCTACGCACTGCTGACTACTCCCTCCTCACTACGCCGACTTACAATGCCCTATCCGCGACTCACTATTGACTACACGCTACTCCCTACTCGCAACTCACTACTCACTACCCACTACCCACTACCCACCATTCACTACTCACTACTCACTGCGCACTGCGCACTATTCACTACTCACTCCGCACACCTCACTACTCGCTACTATCTACTCAGTACTCACTATTCACTACTCACCTCTCACTACTCTCTACTCACTGCACACTACTCACAATCCCGAGGCCAGACCCCTCCCCCACCCTTGCGGGAGAGGCCCTCTCCCCGGCCCCTTGTTCGGCGCAAAGGGGGGGAGGGGGGGGGTTCGAACCCCCCCCCCTTTTCGAGCGCCAAGGGGGGGAGGAAGAGGGGAGGGGGCGAAAATCTCACCCCCCCTTTGAAGGGGGGGAAGGGGGGGGGGTGTCGGACCCCCCCCCCGCCCCTCTTCAACTACAGGGTGATCCAGTGACGCGCTTTCCGAACCTTCGATTCCCCTGGGGCGCCCTGAATCTCCACATCATCCGACGCCGTGCGTGTTGACGACGGTGGGCATTTGGAGCTCTCCACATGATCCCGAGGACTGGCGTTCCGCCGCGGGTCGATCCCTGATGGCCTTGGGGCCCGAGAAAGTCCCCTGGACGCTGACATTGGCGGAAAATGCCCATGCTGGTTTGGTTGATGAAACCGAGTGGCAGTGCAGTAGTGGTGGTGGTCGTCGCCGCCGAAGTCTGGAGGCCGCTCGGGTAACCGCTGTAGATCTTTAGAAAATCCCCCGGTAGATTTAACTAATTATCTTGTCGACGCTCTGATTGAGGGACTGGGGTCCGACCAATCCAGGAAAAGAGATGCTTCTCCGCGGCACCCACCGCACGACAACGACGACGACGCCGACGACTACGATTACGACTACGACTACGACTACGACCACGATACGACTTCGACTACGGCTGCGGCTACGGCTGCGACTAGTTAGCGAACACGACTACTATTACGACTACGTAGGAGAAGGAGGAGGAGGAGAAGGAGGAGGGGGATGAGGAGAAAGAGGAGGAGGAGCAGGAGGAGGACGGGCGGAGTCTATTCCCCGCGGAGATGTGCATGCCGTCGTCACCGCGGCCGCCGCCGCCGCCGCTGGACGCCGCCGCCACCGGAAAGACCCAGAGATCCTCCGTTAGGACTCCTCCAAGAAGACTCAGGCATCCTCCGATATGATTTGTTCAGTGCGGGGTCCCAGACCTCCGGACCTCCTCCCCGGGGTCGTCCCGGATCCATGCTTGCTGCCCCCCGACAACGAGCCTCAGAGGCCGAACAAGAACTGGCAGAAGCATGATTACTCGGAGGTCCGCGCGCATTTCTGGGATCGGCGCTGGACCCCTCGCCGCGCGGGCCTCCGAGAAACTATGCTTATACCGTTTGCTGCTCTTCGGGAAGCCACTGAAGAACACCGAGATCGAAAAGAAGCATATCGTCAGAGATTTCGGGAAGAGGTTTCGGTGGCAACCCATGGGAGCCTCCCATGCCATCTTGCTGACTCTTGCGAATCGACGCTAGTCGACGCTAACCGATACTAAATCGACGCTACATCGACGCTAATCGATGCATCATCTGCGCTAAATCATCGATTACCAGACGCTTGCGTATGCTAGCGCACTCGAAAAAACTAATTCCGAGGACATGCAAGGCTCCCACGGAGAGAATTTCTCATTCACGGCGATCACCAGCGTTATGGGGGAGGCAGCGGGGGGGGGGGGCGTGGGGGGGGAGGGGGTATAACGTAACGCCCCCCCCCCCCCCGCCGTGTGGGCCCAGAACCAGGCTGTGGTGCTGGACGCAATGCGGCAGTGCTGGGGACGCACGGGGGGGCGGGGGGAGCGCTAAGCTATGGAGGCGGGGAGGGGGGGAGGAGGGGGGGAGCATCAAGCGCGTCATGGCCCAGAGGGAAACAGAATACTCTCACGATTTGCTAACGAGCGAGGCCGTGCAGGGCCGCCTTCAGCGACCGGGCGGACTGCGCCAGCAGCGCGGCAGCCTCCGCGGCCGCCTCGTCGCCCGTCTCGCCCGCGAGGCGCTCGGCCTGCTCGGCGGCATCCAGCGCCTGCTCGGTCGGGCCGCCCGCGCTGCGGCCGCTCTGCCGCACTCCCGCCGCCGCCGCCGCCGTCTGTCGGAGCAGGAACAGGGTCTGCTCCTCTTCCTCCTCCTCCTCCTCCTCCTCCCTCCTCCTCCTCCACCTACTCCTCCTTCCTCCACCTCCTCCTCCTCCTCCACATGCTGCTCCTGCTCCTCCTCCACCTCCTCCTCCTCCTCCTCCTCCGCCTCCTCCTCCTCCGCCTCCTCCTCCTCCTCCTCCTCCTCCTCTCCTGCTCTTCCTCCTCCTCCTGTTCCTCCTTTTCCTCCTTTCCCTCCTCCTTTTTTCCTCCTCTCCTCCTCCTCCTCCTCCTCTCTCTTCCTCTTCCTCCTCCTCCTCCTCTTCCTCCATCACCTCCTCCTCCTCCTCCTCCTCCTCCTCCTCCTCTTCCTCCTCCTCCTCCTCAGCTCCTCCTCCTCCTCAGCTCCTCCTCAGCTCCTCCTCCTCTCCTCCTCCTCCTTCTCCTTCTCCTCCTCGTCCTCCTCCTCCTCCTCCTCCTCCTCCTCCTCCTCCCCCTCCTCCTACGCCATTTCCTCCTCCTCCTCCTCCTCCTCCTCCTCCTCTTCCTCCTCCTCCTCCTCTTCTTCCTCCTCCATTCCTTCTCCTTTTAGATAACTCCTCCCTGTCGCACCCCGAGGCCAGTGTTTGGGCGGGCCGGGCGTTTCGCCCGAGACCCCCTTACCATGTATGACCCTGCAGCTTTAAAAGTGACAACAGCTTCACAGATGGAGGGCGGGTGTTCGTAAAAATGTGGTTCTTGCCTTAGCGCCGCGCACATTCCGTTTCGCAATTTGCAAGAATTTCACTGATTGAAGGCGGGTGATCTTCAAACTGTGGCTCTCGCGTTCGCGCTTTGCACATGATTTGCGAACGTGTGTAAGAGCTTCACGGATTGAGGGCGGGTGGTTTTCAAAATGTGGTTCTCGCGTTCGCACCGCGCACACTCTTTGTCAAGTGTTGCTGGAACTTCACAGATTGAGGGCGGGTCGTTTTGAACATGTGGCTCTCGCCTTAGCGCCGCACGCAGTCTTTGCAAACAAATGCAAGAATTTCACATATTGAGGGCGGGTCTTTTTGAAAATGTGGCTCTCGCCTGAGCTCCGCGCACATTATTTGTAAAAATGTGTGAGAGCTTCACGGATTGAGGGCGGTTCCTTCTCAACATGTGGTTCTCGCCTTGGCGCCGCGCACATTCTTTGCAACAACTTGCAAGAGCTTCACGGATTGAGGGCAGTTCCTTTTCAACATGTGGCTCTCGCCTGAGCGCCGCGCACATTCGTTTGACCAATTTCCAAGAGATTCACGGATTCCCATGATCAGCGTAGCGAAATAATGTGTTGGAAGGGATCTGGATTATGCGGGTGCAACATGTATGTTGATTCGCGGTGTACAAGCCATTGACACACACACACACATATATATATATATATACATGTAAAAGAAAAAGAGCGACGTTATGGTACGATTCCGGATCGCCAAAACGCAGCAGTCAGGTTGATACGTGGCGCTGAAATCCCGAGAACAATGTTTTGGCATGCTTCAGGATCTTCAAGCGGGTGTCTTCCAACGAGGCAGTTCCCTCAATGGAAATGAACCGTTGTAGGGGACTACGAAATGGGAGCCTGGAGAAAGGGTTACTTCCAAGATCGTTGATGACCCTTGGGTTTACAATGGTCCTCCTCCTCCTCCTCCTCGATTTCTTTTCCGCGTAAATAGCTCCTCCCTGTCGCACCCCGAGGCCAATGTTTAGGACGGGCCGGGCGTTTCGCCTGAGACTTCCTCACCGTTCATGATTCTGAAGCTTAGAAATTGGCAACAGTTTCACAGATGGAGGGTGAGTGTTTTTCAAAATGTGGCTCTCGCCGTGGCGCGGCGCACATTCGTTTACAAAACGTGTAAAAGTTTCGCAGATTGAGGAAGGGTGTTGTTCAAAATGTGGCTCTCGCCTTAGCGCCGCCCACATTCGTTTTGAAAGTTTGCAACAATTTCACGGATTGAGGGCAGGTGGTTTTCAAAATGTGGCTTTCGCCTTCGCGCCGCGCAAATTCGTATACAAAATTTGTAAGAGCTTCACGGATTGAGGGCGGGTGGTTTTCAAAATGTGGCTCTCGCCTGAGCGCCGCGCACATTCGCTTTAAAAGTTTGCAAGGGTCTCACGAATTTAAAGCGGTTGGCTTTCAAAATGTGGCTCTCCCCTTAGCGCCGCGCGCATTCGTTTACAAAATTCCAAAAATTTGCACGGATTCCCAGCATCAATGTACCAGAAATGGCGTTTTGGAAGGAGTCAGGACTATCATTGATTCGTTGTGTTGAAGTCCTAGGAATGGCGTTCTGGCATGATTCAGGATCGTTAAGACGCCACAGTCAGGTTGATCCGTGGCGTTGGCATCCCGCTGTTCTGGCATGCTTCAGGATCTTCAAACGGGTGTCTTCCAACGAGGCAGTTCCATCAATGGAAATGAACCGTTGTAGGGGCCTATGAAGAGGGAGCTTGGAGGAAGGGTTACCCATCGGTCGGAAGAAGTAGGTAGAAACATAAAGTAGGAAGGCGTTGGAAATAGATTGGGTTTCCGCCCGCCTCCTGAAGAGGAAGGAAGAGGGAAAACCACTCGACTCTTGAAGTAGGAAGGCGCTGAAAGTAGATTGGAATCTGGGAATCCAAAAATACCTACTTTCAACGACCTGTGGGTAATTATTCCATCATCGTTGATGACCCTTGGGTTTGCAATGGTCCTCCTTCTCCTCCTTCTCCTCCCCCTCCTCCTCCTCCTCCTCCTCCTCCTCCTCCTCCTCCTCCTCCTCCTCCTCCCCCTCATCATCAGCAGAAGCATCATCATCAGCATCATCATCGTCATCATCATCAGCATCATCATCATCAGCATCATCATCTTAAAATTCATCACCACAACCATCATCATCATCACCAGCAGCAGCAGCAACATCATCACCACCCCCACCACCACCATCATCATCAGCAGCATCAGCAGCACCACCATCATCAACATCAGCATCATCATCATAAGCAGCATCATTATCATCATCATCAGCAGCAGCATCATCATCATCAATATCATCATCCTCATCATCCCTCCCCCCTCCTCCCTACTCCCTCCTCCGTCCTCCTTCCTCCCTCCTTCATCCTCCCTCCTCCCTCCTCCCTCCTCCCTCCACCTCCCTCCCTCCTCCCTCCTCCCTCCTCCCTCTTGCCTCCTCCTCCCCACCTGGCGGAGCCGGAACAAGGTATCCTCCTCATCACTCCACCTCCCCCATCCCTCCTCCCCTCCTCCTCCTCCTCCTCCTGCTGCTCCTCCTCCTCCTCGTCCTCCTCCTCCTCGTCCTCCTCCTCCTCCTCCTGCTGCTCGTCCTCCTCCTCCTCCTCCTCCTCCTCTTCCTCCTCCTGCTCCTCCTCATCCTCCTCCTCCTCCTGCTCCTGCTCCTCCTCCCCCCTCCTCCTCCTCGTCCTCCTCCTCCTCCTCCTTCTCGGTCGGCTGGGCGTCAGGCAGGAGGGTCGACGCCTAGACTCAAGAAGATGGCGAGACAGAACAGGATAGAGACGGCGGCGACGAGGATTCCCCTGGCCCCCAAGGCAGCACGAGGGCAAGACCCGAGCCATCCTCTTTTTTGGGGGAGCAACTCCAATGCCTCAGCCACACCTGTGAGACGCCAGCTTAAACTGGGACGAAGACGGGTCACATCAAAGGGATGACATATTTCAAGTCCCCAGCGACACTCTGTTTGCCTGGGTGAAGGCCCCTCTTAAGCCTTCTGAAGTTTTTGATTCCCGAGGCGGTAGCTGGTTGGTAGGCCTTGCTAAGGCCTTTCACCTGCACTCAACTGGAGTAAAACTAAAACCGCAAACAAAGCTAAAGAAACGACGCATCTGGGCACGGAAATGCCAAGACACGATGATTGAGGCGATCAAGAAAACCTTGGTCAAGCTTAGATCGGCCAGGCCACGGAGTCAGAGGGGGATTCGTCCTTTCCAGCCGTCGAGCCCTTCAAACAAGCTTCACATCGCCAAAATCCGTTCATGCGCTTCCGTGAGTGTGATAACGCAAGCAGAGGCTGCGGGGGTGGCGGAGGAGCACGGGCAGTGCCTCGAAATTCAAGACGCGGCGCGGCAACTCCAGCAACACAGCTGCCCCCAACTTCAACACATGTATGGTGATATTCAAATCGCGAGTGACTTCCTGCACCGTTGGATCCGCCGAAGGGTGGCGGGCCAGAACGCTTTTAGCAATCACGTCAGCATAAAAACTGCCTTGCCGCAAAAAAAACGTTCCCCTGATGTGATCTCATCTTCGCCTGGATTAAGGTATGCTCTCACCTTCTTCACCGACCTCAAGTTCTTGCCGAACATTCTTGCCAGCTATCGCTTCCACAAGCGGCAACGAGCCCTGTTCAACTACGTTCTTACAGTCAATATACAGATCAGTCGGAGCCACTGCAAGCAAACGCTCCAAACAACGGCGCCAAACTCAGCCCTTTGGGCCGTTTGTGGGCACGGCGCCCACAAGAGCCCAGAAACTTGCCCAACAGCTCACCTCGGTCCGAAACCATGGCAAGGCCCATGAGCTCCGTGAGAGCTCTCGGACAACATGTCGGTGACACGAACCTCATATGAAAACATGTATCTGAAGGCACTGACCGCACGGCACTTGGGAGGAGGAGAGAGAGAGCGAGAAGGAATCATATACACATGCCACTTGATCTCGACTCCACCTTCCTCCACCGGGCCAGGGACCACATCACCCGAGTGACGAAGGCCACCGCGTTCCAAAAGACATCGTACCCTGGATTGTCCACATCACGAGCGGGATTCTGGCTCCAGCCAGGAACTCTCTCATTGCGCAGCTCCTGAACGTGCGGGCCGGCCCACAAACGGGGATGCAACGCGTCCCGGCAGTCACAGAAAGGGCAGGCAGGCGAGACCTCTGCGTGGCGGGCAGCGGCGGCGTCCGACACTGTCCAGACCCCGCCACAAGCCAGGGGGCTCTCATGATGCCCGTGTCCTGCTTCGAATATTTCCAAGACCCAAGACAGGCGTAACCACGTCCCAGCAATTTCTCTCGCCATACTCAAACCTCAACCCAGAGTACCGCTCAAGGCTTCTGAACACCGCATCCCGAAGCAAAGAGCGCACCATCTGAGGGGAGTTCAGAGTCATCGGAAACTGACGGCCCAAATCGCCCCTAAACGTACAAAAATGCAGGCATCGTCCATCCAATGCGGTACAAGGACATACGGAGGGCACTCAAGGGACCCGAAACTTTGGTCCACGAAAGGTCGTCAACACCAAAGACCGTTTCCCACCCCTCACGTATCTCCCGAAGGTTAAACACCATTCGAAAGCGTGGGTGTGGTTCAGCCAGACCCCCCGAGCCCAACGGAGGATGGGGGCGACGGCCGCTCTCCAAGGCGGATCCCCCTCCAAGAGAGACAGCACCGCCAAAGACCTACCACGCGCCCTGGGCTTGATGATACTCATTCCCAACCTCAGGGACAAAACCTCACTGTCGGAAACTCCATAAACCTGCGAACTAAAATTAGCTCCAGCCATCGGACCAGCAGAAAAAATCTTGGTCGTTCCTCCCTAAATGTTGCCCAACTTGGAAAGCCGCCGCGCCTTTCTG